CAAGCCCAGGTTCTGTTCGATCAGTTTCAGTCGCAGCTCAAGCAACTTGGTGCCTCTCCATCGGATTCAGCTCTGACAGTCCCCTCCACCACCACTAATCCTTCTTCTTCCTCAGGTATAACGCTTTCAACCCGTTCTCCTTCTCATACCTCTGTTCCTTTTTCAGACCTATCACCAAATATTTGGATTTTAGACACTGGAGCCACTAGTCATATTTGCTGTGATTCTCGATTGTTTCAGAATCTTCACTACATTACTCCTCTCACTGTTACATTGCCTAACGGTGATTCCATCTCAGTTACTCACTCTGGCTCTGTTTTTCTGTCAGCTTTTCTAGTTCTTGAATCTGTTCTGTTTATTCCTTCATTTCGTTTTAATCTCCTTAGTGTCAGTGCCCTTACTAAAAACACCTCTCTTACGGTCTGTTTTTCTCATGACTCCTACCTGATCCAGGACCCTACGCGGGGCTTGACGATTGGGAAGGGTAATCAGATCAACAACCTCTACACCTTGGCGGCACAGGACACTTCCTCTGCTGCATCTATCCCGCCTCTTCTTTGTACAGCTTTATCAATCTCCAAGGATGTTCTCTGGCATAATCGCTTGGGACACCCATCTACTTACAAAATACAGGCTGTTTCGGCTTCTTCTCAGCCCACTTTTGTGTTTTCAGACACTAAATACTTACGTTGCCCTGTCTGTCCACTTGCAAAGCAACATAGACTTTCCTTTCCTTTTGGTGGTCATCGTTCTACTGATGTTTTTGATCTGGTTCACCTTGATATATGGGGACCATTCCATGTAGAAACTCATGATGGCTGTAAATATTTTCTTACTTTGGTTGATGATTGTTCTCGTCTTACCTGGGTTTACTTTTTACACTCTAAATCTGACGTTGTTTCTAAATTGCCAGATTTTATCTCCTATGTTCAAACTCAGTTTCACAAAACAATCAAAACCATCCGTTCGGACAATGCACCCGAACTCTCCTTTACCGAACTTCTTCAGTCCAAAGGCATCCAACATCATTTTTCATGTCCTTACACACCGCAACAGAATTCGGTGGTTGAACGTAAGCACCGTCACATCTTAAACGTGGCTCGGGCCTTACTTTTTCAATCCAATATACCTCTTATATACTGGGGTGAGTGTGTAAAGACTGCCATTTATTTGATCAACCGAACCCCTTCTCGTCTTCTCAACCATAAAACACCTTATGAAATACTTACCAAAACCCCACCAACCTATGATCACCTTCGTGTTTTCGGATGCCTTTGCTACGTCTCTACCTTGTCCAAACATCGCCATAAGTTCTCCCCTCGGGCTTCTCCGTCCGTTTTCCTTGGCTATCCACCAGGTGTAAAGGGTTACAGAGTTTTAAATCTGGAAAGCAATGTCATCTCCACATCTCGTGATGTTGTTTTCCATGAAACCTCTTTCCCTTTTCTGGATAAACCCTTAGAGCCAGAGTCTGTCATTTTTTTTCCATCAGATCCACCTTCTTATCACTTTTTTGATCATCCTTTCCCTTTACCCTCTAGACAATCTAATGTCTCAGAATCTCCCGTTGTTTCTGATCATGACTATTCCCCACAGTCAGCTTCAGATTCAACTTTTTCTTTGCCATCCCCCTCTCCTCCTAATGTCATTGATAATTCTGAAACAATTCGAAAATCACAGCGTTTGGTTAGGGCTCCAGCTTATTTGGCAGACTATCATTGTTATTTCCTCACCAATAACAAACCACCTCAGTCTCCATACCCTTCGACATTACATCCCATTTCTTCTTGTCTATCCTATCACAGACTTACATCCTCTTACAAGCCTTTTGCTCTCTCAATCCTTACATCAACCGAACCTAAAACCTTCTCCCAAGCTGTCAAATCTGAATCCTGGAGAGACGCCATGAGGCTCGAACTCGATGCTCTGATCCGGACTAAAACCTGGACTTTCTGCACTTTACCACCTGATAAACACCCTGTTGGCTGCAAGTGGGTATTTAAAACGAAATATCGGGCTGATGGCAGTGTAGAACGTTACAAAGCTCGCTTAGTCGCAAAGGGGTACACTCAACTCGAAGGCATCGACTATCTCGACACCTTCAGCCCTGTGGCTAAGCTCACATCAGTTCGTTTGTTGCTTGCTATCTCTGCATCTCAGAATTGGTTTCTGCACCAAATGGATGTATCAAACGCATTTTTAAATGGGGATCTTACTGAAGATATCTATATGTTACCTCCTCCTGGATATTCTGAGCTTCAGGGGGAGACGATTCAGCCATCCATGGTCTGTAAACTTCATCGTTCCCTTTATGGTCTCAAACAGGCCTCTCGTCAATGGCATTTAAAACTCACAGCAGTTCTTCTGGGCGCTGGTTTTCGACAGTCAAAGTCTGATACATCTCTCTTCATCAAGTCCCATGATTCTAACATCCTGGTGATCCTGATTTATGTTGATGATTTGATCTTGGCTGGCAATGATTCTGCTTCATTGGATTCTGCTAAATCCTTGTTGAACAGTCAGTTTCAGGTTAAAGATCTCGGTCCACTTCGTTATTTCTTAGGGATCGAGGTTGCAAGATCCACCCATGGTCTGCATCTTTGCCAGCGCAAGTACACATTGGAACTCCTTGAAGAGTATGGCTATCTCGGTGCAAAGCCAGTTTCTACTCCCATGGATACTCGGGAAAAACTGGGACTTGATACTGGCGATGCTCTGTCTGATTCTACATTCTACAGACAATTGATCGGCAAATTGGTCTATCTCTCAGTTACTCGTCCAGACATTTCCTTCGCTGTTACAAAGCTCAGTCAGTTTTTATCGCAGCCTCGTTCTGCTCATTTACAAGCGGCATTCAGAGTTCTTCGGTATCTGAAGACTTCTCCATCTCAAGGTCTGACATACTCTGCTTCTTCCTCCCTGCAACTATCTGCCTATACAGATGCAGATTGGGCAGCTTGCCCCGATACACGCCGATCTATTACTGGCTATTGCATCTTCTTGGGCAACTCTCTTGTTTCTTGGAAGGCCAAGAAACAAGTTACTGTCTCTCGAAGTAGTGCGGAGGCAGAGTATCGAGCCCTCGCTCAAACGACCTGTGAGTTACTTTGGATCCGAAATCTGCTTTATGATCTGCATATCCCTGCTTTGTCTCCTGTCCCGGTTTTCTCTGATAGTCAATCTGCCATACACCTGGCCAACAATCCTGTGCATCATGAACGCACGAAGCATGTGGAGATTGATTGTCACTTTATCAGGGATCATGTTGCCTCTGGATTCATCAAGCCCCTGTTTGTTCATTCTCGACAGCAAATCGCAGATATCCTTACCAAACCAGTTTCTACAGATTGTTTAATCCTTCACCTGTCCAAGATGGGAATACAAGATTTGTATTCTCCATCTTGAGGGGGAGTTTTATCCGGTTAAAAATTGATTTCTCGAAGCATCGGTTTGGCATCGGTTTAGCAGACACTACTCTGCTCCTCTGGCGCTACGGAACGTGTACATGGTTTCTTGTTTCTTATAGCCTTTATAGCTCATAGTAGGTTTGGGACCATAACCATTTTTTGCAAGTTAGAATATTCTTTCTGTGTATAAATAGGGGTATTGTAGTATGAGTTTTAATATACAGAAAACCATTTTTGAAAAGCTCTCTCGCCCTGCTTTTACATATCAAAACGGATAAAGCATCCAGCCCACCAAATCTGCTTTTATGTTTTATGAATTTATAATTTTCAATTTTTTTTCTCCCTGTACACTACAAATTATTATTTGTTTTCCAAACCTAACAAATGAGATGAATATAATATTATAATAGGTGCGGGTCGATCGATTGAAGGGGCTCATTATTACTATATTAAAAGAAAACGAAAAAGTCATGCATATATGATATATATATATATATATATGAACACATTAAATTTCATAGGAAAAAAAAAAGAGAAAAGATTTTGGATTGCCCACTAGACAGTCTATAATTGCACGCTAGTTAATATTAATTAGCTATAATGAGTCGTGGGCCTAAGTTGCAGTGAATTCGTACAAAAAAAAAAATTTAATGCAAACTTTAATTTTGAATTTCCATTAGGTTACAACAAAATATTAAGTTTTATTTATGATGGGCCATTTATATATTCATCAAACAAATAGACAACTAAGAATGTATTGATCGATATTTTGTATGCTTGTTAGAGATTTTTTTTTATCATGTTACAAATTATGATCAAATCATCAAGCTTAAAATGCATTGAGACATATTTCGGTTATTATTACATTTCAGAATAAAAATAAAAATTTATATTTAGAAGAAAAAAGGATTATATAATTACGCTCCCCAACAACGCAATGCTTTTATGGCAACGGTTACTTGCACGTGAATTGCAATCTCTTCAAGGGTTATACAGTGGAACGAATGGTCAAACTATGCCCAAGAACAGCAAAAGCATTCGTTGTACGGCCTTTTGTAAATGTTTTATATTGATATTATATGTAAATTTTTTATATATATATTATATATATATATATATATATATATTTATATATATATATATATATATATATATAAAGGGTTTTCTCTATCAACATGTGAAAGAAGCATACTCGAGCTTGGAGTTTTGGTAGGGGCCTGTGTATGTTTATTGTAGATTTCGCCCAGTCTTCCAACTATTTTATCTGTTCGCATTTACTGAAATTATGCGTATGTATGTATGTATGTATGTATGTATGTATGTATGTATGTATGTATGTATGTATGTATGTATGTATGTATGTATGTATGTATGTATGTATGTATGTATCCTCATCCATATGATATGTCCAAAAGGTATCAATAAACAAGTGTAAGTTGGTCCATAATAACATGTACTTTCATTTGCTATGATAAAGACCGGCTAAATAGTAATCATACAATAACATATAGTAAACATTTTTATTTTGAGGAACTGAATATACGGTCCACATAAATACAAAGTAAAAACATGTATGAAACGGAGTCTAGACGTTACATGAACACTTAAAGATTAAGACATCAAAATACCAAAAGAAAACAACAAAAACATATGGATCGATGATCTGAAAACCCTTCCGAACCTTTGTTTTAGGCTGCGGATGCGTAATTAGGATCAGAACTCGAGCCGTGGCCTTCTTCTTCCTCGTCTTCACCACGAAGTTTCTTGTAGACGAAACGCTTAGCTACCACGAGATAGACGAAGAAGCTGAGAGCGTTAAGGGAGGCGATCACCCAATAGAAGTAATCGAGATGAGCTCGGTTGAGGTTGTTCCCGAGCCATTGCTCTCCGCGGCGTTTGCTGATCGACTGGACGGACGAAATGATCACGTTGCTGACGAAACTCCCGACCCCTACGACGCTTATGAAGCAGGCGGCCCCTATACTTCTCATGATCTCCGGCATTTGGTCGTAGAAGAGAATGTTCATGCCCACGATCGTGAACGTGTCTCCGATCCCGGTGAGTATGTACTGAGGGAGTAACCATAAACTGCTCATGGGAACGATTGCCTTTGGATCGTCGATTAGCCCGTGATCCTTCGCGACCTTAAGCCTCCTTGCCTCCACAAGTGCACATATCACCTGTTACGACGCATTCATAAACCAAAAAAAAAAAAAGAAATCCATCAATGAGTTCAAGAGATTATCGAGTCGAGATCTCGAAAATGTTATTCGACAACGAAAAGAAGAATGTTCATAAAGCAAGAAGGTCGATATACAGTATTTCACATTACCATGTTGAGAGTTGCGATGAACAAGCCGATGCCGACCCTTTGGAGAACGGTGATTCCAGAATGATGCTTGGTGATCTTCCTAGCGGCCGGAACGAGGACTCGGTCGTAGAGAGGGACGAAAACGAGGATCGTGACCCCGACAACGCTCGTAAACGCTGCCGGAGGGATCGTGAAGCTTTTCCCGATGGTACGGTTCATCGTGCTCCCTTGCTTGTTGAAGAACGTGTTGAGCTGAGCGATGGTCGCGCAGTACATTATGAGACTTAACCATATCGGCACGAGCCTCAGCACCAACTTCACTTCCTCCACTTGGTTTGTCGAACACAATCTCCAGGGGTTCCGAGTTTTGTCCGAAGCGTCCACTTCGTCAATGATTGTTGCCTTATCCAGAAATCTGTATTAATTATTTGGCCATAAAGTGTCAATAAAATTAAATTATTTGAAAAAGGTATAAACTGATGCAAATTTTATGCTAAATTGAGTGAGTATTTTTAAGATGTAATAATATAGATCGGCATCACCCTACAGATTATATTTTTAAAATGATAACACAATCTCAAAATTGGTTGTTTTTTTCATTTGAGATTTTTAAATTTTAAAAAGTAGATCTATTTGATTTGTGATTTAATTCAATCCAATTTTTTTAAACTATATTTAAATTAATTTTTTATTCTAATTTTTTTTTTAGTTTTCATATATTTTATTCATCCGATTCAAAATGGCCATCTTTAATTTTTTTTTATTGGCAACTCTAACCTACCCAACCGGACAAAAGGGCACCCATTTCTCTTATATGGCTTTTGGTAGACATAATAATATAATAAAAAAAATGTTGGAAAACGATATTCAAACAAAATAAAATTAATAAATTAACAATAACCAAAGATCCAAACAAGGTGGAGGGGATAATGACAGTATCCACTTAATTAATCAGCATGCGATGTACGATTTAGTGTTTTAATATGATGGAAACAGGTATTTGTTTTATTTAAAAAATGTATAATTGATTACATTTAATAATTAATGTCCATCTTTAGTACAAAACGCTTTAGCATCTACACGTTAATTCATGCACATGCTCTATGAAGTCATGAGGAAACCAATTTCACGATATTCGATCATCTTATATTTGTACTTGAAAAACATTTTATTACTCTATACTTATTATATTGACATTGGAATAATTTATTAATAAAAATCAAATATAAATTCAAATTGAATGAAACTGAAACGAATATAAATTAATTTTGAAAACTATATATTTATGTAAAATATATATTATGTTTGTATATGCGTACGTGTTAAGTTATGGACGGGGTTTGAATAATTAATTTAATAGCCCGTAATTTACGAGTTGAAATATATTTAGTTAAAGAATAGACAATTACAACAAAGTATATGAATTTTTAATATGCAAACGTTATTGTTTTACGGTAAAGTCTTTGAACTCTTCATAATTCATCTCTCTCTTTTCAACGTTCAAACTTTTCGCGCAAAATATAAAAATAAATTAGAACTAATTCATAGAAATACAGGTGTCACTCCTCGGACTCCGAAAATAATTATTGTGACTATTGGTCAAATTTTTAACCTTTAAAAACTTAATAATAATAATAATAACTTTATATCATGCATGCTTGGACCACCTTGTTAACATTAAATTTTAATAATGAAATTGGGAAAAGATAAGATATATAATATAAGCGAGAAATGTGAGTACCTGAATTGATTTGTACGTGCGAGATATTGTTTACTCCCACTCGTTTTTGTTTGACTCGTCGAGCCATCCTCCGAGTCCTCAGAGCAAACGCTGTAACGGTGGGGCGTGGTACTCACGCGCCACTTCTTAAAGGCGGCGACGAAGACCTGAGCCACCCTGGTGAAGGGACTTCCGACCGGAAGTTGTTTCCTGTACTTAGGGATTCCGATCAGAAACAGAATTAGGGCTACGGCAACGGTGCCGGCAACAACTCCGAACCCGGCGGCCCAACTCACCCGATCCTATATTTTTTTCAGACAAAATAAAAACATCTCAAATAAATTAATAAATAATTGTATTCATATATGTGTGTGTGTGTGTATGATTAGGATTTCGTTTCTTCCTTTTTTTTTGGAAAATTACTTTTTTTTTTTTATAGTTTATTGAATATATTTTTAAAACTCCAATTTAACAATGATGTGTATGTGGAATTCGTATTCGAATGAATGAAAAAAAATGAATTTTAAACCAAACTAAATAGATATCACCTTAAAAATCCTAAAACATTACCCATATTTTTACAATAATTATATATTTGGGATTTTTTTTTTTGGCAGGCTTTTTTTGTTGATTTTTTACTTTTATTTTTTTGTTAAGTTTTAGTACTTTATAAAATTTGGTCACATTTACCATGATTGTTTTACAATATCACCCCGAACGTGCCAGGATAGTGCCCTTGTGACAAGATATGTCACAAACACACTTAGTTGTGCGAGGTTCTGACAATAAATTGTAAGATCAATTTATATATTAAAAAACTAATTTATTAGTTTTAAAAAATATGATCAAATAATTTGATGCTATCTACATATTTTAATAGGATAGCTAGTCAACTTAGGGGAATAGCTAAAGACAAAGACTCTGAGTAAAAAGCATAAAATCTGAATTATCAATAAAAAAATGGTAGTTTAGTAATGTACCTTTTTAGTAATATTATTTACCGATAAAAATGTATTTTTATGGTTACCCACTAATTAAAGACATTATCAACAAAGACACGGCTACATAAACATAAGTTTATTTTTATATAATTTTAATATGTATAGTTTAAATAGAATAAACACGACCTACCATATATTCCTAGTATCACTTTAACAAACACCACACATAAATATGTTTGATAAATAGCAGTATAGTTTATAATATATTTCTAATTATATATCTATGTGTATATATGTGTGTAATCGCATTAAATTATATATATATATATATATGAATTATCAATACATTAATATCTTTTATAATATATCAATATCTATTGGAAGAAAAAATAACTAGCTTTTTTTATTATAGCTTAGATAATAATCAGACGTTAATTATCAAAATCTAAGAATCAATTTCAAAATTAAAATCGTTGTAAAAATATATAATTCGAAGAAATAGCCGTTTTATATACTGCATAAAAAAAAGAGAGAGTATCATGCAATAAGATAATACCTGAATGAAGACAAGGCCAAGGACGGCGATGGAGGAGCCGGCGACGATGGCTAAGTAAAACCAGTTAAAGAATGAATACTTCTCCATCTTCTGGTCGGCGTTTTCCTCCCCGAACTGATCGGCGGCGAACGTCATGATACAGGGCTTGTGCCCTCCTTGTCCGACCGCCAGTACGTACAGCGCCATGAAGAACATCTCGTCCCTCAGCCGCCGTGGCACCACGGATACCGATATCGGCAACATTGCCATCCCCTGTTACACGTACGGTTCGCAAATTCATCAGGACGTACAATGTCAAAGAATTATACAATAAAGAACAAGGGAAACCAACGTATTAATGGGTCACATGTCGCAATATATCAATATGCATATAAAAGGGTTTGTGAATGAGAGAGATAGAGAGGCCGGACCAAGAGGTAGACGATGGAGGATAAGAGAACGGTCTTGAAGCGGCCGAGGACAGAGTCGGCGAGAAAGGCTCCGACGATCGGGAAAATACAGGAGACGCCTATCCACGTGTTGATGTTTTTGGCGGCCGTGGCCGTGGACTGGCCTAGCTCGTTCGTCAAAAACATCATTAGATTGCTCGCTAGACCGTAAAACGCGAAGCTGTCTGCGACCTCAACCGCTGCATCATCAGTACGAAACCCAAACACCAAATAAGACGAAATAAATCGAAATCTCGAAGGAGAAAAGACGATGAAATGCTCTTTTTTGGGGGGGTCACCGGTTATAAAAAGGGCAGCGGTCCATCCTCCTTTCTTGGTGATCCCTTTGGTGTCTGAAATGACGGACTTAGGGTCGGAATCCGCCATTGATGTCTGGTGATGGTTTAGGAGATGGGTGTTGGAATCTAGACTTTGATGTCCCTTTTTATATCTGAAAAACAAAAGTTTTACCTTAGTGGCTCTGATTTCCAGGCAAACCCCACTTTTCTTATTTATTTATTTTTACGTCGGCAAATCTTGTTTAATGGACTTATATTATATATATTATATATTTTATGTATGTATGTCGTACCAATGCACAAGTAAATCCGATTTACAATCTGGCACATTAAATGGCTATCTAATTATTAATCAATTAATTCGTTAAGAGTGGAGGTAATGGGATTATGATGGTTGCGCTCATTACTTAGTGGTGTAATTTTTTTTTTTAATTTGTATAATGCTCTTATCATTTGTATCCATTGTCGATTTTAGAATAATTTTAATCGTGTAGAGGAGATGGGCTAGAAAGAAAAGACAACTCAGAGGTAGAAGGAGAAGATATGTGTGTAATGGATCGTATATATGCAATGTTTCATATTATTCACAAATGTCTTCTCGGACCAAAACAAATATATTGGTATGTCCAAGTTTGGATGGTTTAGTAATAAAATAAAATGCAAATGACAGTTTTATCTCGAGTTCAAATCCAAACGTGGAGAAGAGTATTCATTCGATTTTTTTCGATTTTCTTGGGAGATATCGTTGGGTCAAATGATGATAAACTTTCGAATTATAAAAAAAAAATAATCTGTTGTTATGTGATAGTGTGATTTAGAAAAATGTTTCCGTGGCATGATTTTATGTTGATACGGACGATTTTCAAGTGAAAATATATGAAAAAGGCTACCGAGGAATTCTATACGGATGGAAATAGAGATTTCCAAAGCAATGCTGTTTTTCTAAAACTAGGGTATTAAATTTGATTTGAAACTCGAAGTCCGATCCGAGACCATTCGAAAAATACCGGGGTTCGAGTATAACTCTATATATATCCCCGAACATATTTAGATTTTCATATCGGATTAAAATCTAATTTCTGATTTAAATTAGATTACAAAAAATATCATTATTAAATGGGAATTCGACTCAACCCGAATCCAAATCCAGAATCTATAGAAATATCGTTTGGGTTTAGATTTGGTTGTATAGACCCGAAAAAATTACCAATATAATAAAAATACATTTTGTTATATGTATGAGTCAATTTATTTTCCCTTGCGCTGAGAAAGTTTTTTTTTTCTTCTTAAATCCACCACTACAAATTAAATATTCATTTAAAAAAAGTAAAATTTTTAATTGAAAATTTTGACTTGCCATTTCCCCCCAAAAAAAAAGGGGAAAAAAACGAAAACCGTACTGCCAAACAAAAAACACATGAAAAAAGCATTTTTGGCTGTCTTTCCCACCTACGATATAAAATTCAAAATAATAATTCCGCACCTTTTTGAAAAGTGTAACGGAAAAAAAATATATTTTAAATATATAATTCAACATTATAATCATTTCTTCAACTGTAAAATTCAGTTAGGGTTCTACCGACTCCATAAATGGACTGCATAATCATTTGGTTTATTGTATGGTCAAAATCTAATCTTTTACGCAACAGTGATGAACAGAAACCTTTATAAAAAAAACTCAAAAAAATATATAATCGATAATCTTAATTTAAGAAAAATAAACATAACATTGCAATCCACCAAAAATAATGACTCACATTCACTTGAAAAAATTCCATAAAATATTGATTTTTTTAACTCCGGATTTCACTTATTGGATTTGAGTTTTTTAAATTCTAAAAATTATACCTATTCAATTAGTACAGCAAATTTCGGTTTAATTCAAATCTTTTTCCCGAATTTGATTTATATTTGGATTTCATTAAGAATATTAATTATTTTTCTAAAATATTTTTAAAAATTTTGAATTATTTTTACTTTTAATTAGGGTTTGATTAATTTATTTCCGGAAAGTTTCAATTGGGGAAACAAATTTGCCAACCCGAAAGAGGAGGATTCAGCTTGAAAGCAGCCATATATAGATAAACTTTATTTCAAATTGCCTTAGAGATCCACTTTTGTTCGAATGTCTTCATGCGTATTGCTATTAATTAGCATATACCAGTGGTCGAATATTCACATTCTTCAATGTCATTTTCCATTTTTAGATGATTTTCCATTTTTAAAGCTGTAGTTAATGCTAATACTTAATAGTATTCAAATATAAATTGATTAGAAGTTAATAATTTTTTTTGGTAAACATTGAAGTTAATAATTTTGGTACATAATACTAATATGTATAATTTTTATATGTAAGATAATTTTAGGTTTTTTTTTTCAGATATTTGATTTGATAAAAATCCAAACAATAAATGGATCTAACTTTACATATTTCACATAAACTATCAATAAAATATAGATCACAAAAATATGTTTGTGTATATATATATATATATATCATCTTCAGTTTTTTTATTTTTAATGTTTTTCCAATATTATTTTGACGATATTTTTTTAATTATCTAACTGAATACCGGGTCTTATATGGATATATGGAAAAGACTATCAAATGTTTTTTAAATATAATGATATATTTAGATTTCATTTGTCTTCAATTCTAAATATTTTCGTTTGACAACTATGTTTTTGTAGATTAAATTTTGTTGTCTTGATAACTATAGTCTAGTATTCCATAAACAATTATCGCTAGCATTTAATAGTATTCCAATAACATTATTGCAACATTTTTACTGGAAAACTTTAATAATAATAATAATAATAATAATAATAATAATAATAATAATAATAATAATAATAATAATAATAATAATAATAATAATAATAATAATAATAATAATAATAATACATAACATAAATGACATAATATCTTGTCTAATCAAGATTTTATTGGAATTTAATCTATTTTGTATACTGATATAGATAATTTCTTGTGTCTATCGGAGATTAATTTTTTGTGTCTATCGGAGATTAAATTTCGGGATTGGAGATGGAGCGTATATTCTATGTCATATAGATGATTTACAATCCCGAGATTAATATGGATTTCCGATTAAAACATTCAGTTACTAAAAAAAATAAAAAATAAAATATGAATTCCTTTTCCATCAAGAGCAAAGCGAAAAAAAAAAACACGCAATACATAAATTGCAAAAAGATAGAAAATTTGGACCAACAACCAACAAAAGTATTTCAGCCACAATTTGTGCTCTTCCACCTTTTTATTGCGAGTGAGCACTGACATTTTTCTCCTAAGAATTCCACTATAATATATAATGTTTTTTTTTCGTATAGTGCATTATATATATATATTATCTAGATTAAAATATAAGATCTTAAATAAATCTATTGAAAAATATAAAGAGTTTCAGTTCTTATAGAATTTAAATATTAGTGTTTTCTATTTAAATTAGATTTATATATTCTTATCATTAGAATAAAAATTTAGAGTTTTATGGAGAGAAAACTACGTTGTATATTTAATATCATTCGGTCATCAATAACACAACGCTTTATTTCGTAAATCTTGGTAAAGCCCTTAATTATTTAAATTAATTAATATAAAATTAATAAAATTTAATGTATGTTTTACATATAATCCAGTCAAATCAAATTAATATTTATAATTTGTAATTATATAACAAATATTTATTATAAAAAAATCAGACTCTCCCCGGGAGATGCTGTTACCCATGAGCCCAACATCACATGAACTTACGAATTTGTGAACACAAATGGTTTGGAGGTACAACAATAAAACAAGCCCACCACATGACTCTTCCTCTTTATCTAAAGGTTGATACACACTGTTCTTCACAATTATATTGCGAAGTTTGAGCAGACTTTTGTAGATGAATAGAAAAAAAAAAAGTAATTTGTTATTTGGTACATGATTTGAAAAAACAAACAAATAGCTGAAGGTGCCGGGGAAAGGACATGTCATTTGAACGGTAAGACCCGGCATTTCATATGATATAACCCTAATCAAATGTGTGTATATATATATATATACATATATATTTTTATCAAATATTTAATTTTAAAATGATGACATGACGTTGACATATCAATTCAGTCACCGCCATGTTAGGAATCCGTTCGCCAGTAAAATTTTTGGTCAAATAAATCAAAAGTTTTATATGGAAGAAAATTGTAAGTTTGTAATTTTTATGAAAGTTTTTATCAAATTCAGGGTTTTTCTGTGGGAGATTGTAAGTTTAGGGTTTTATAAGAAATATTTTAATAAGTTTGGAGTTTTTTTTTATGGGAATAACCCAGGATTGGCTCAGTTTGATTATGGTTGAATTGCACAAATATTTTCAAAATGCCTTCGTTGTATTTAGTGTTTCACCAGTTGGTTCATGAAACGTAAGTATTTATATTCGTAAATCTGTCTTTTTTATAGATAAACCCTCGTGTTCCATGTGCATGATTTTTTCTTGGAGGAGGATGAAATGATTTGACTTTAAAGTCTTTAATCTAATAATATGGTTACCCATTGGACTATTGACCTATTGATATACTTTTTTCCTTTTGTGCGATATTTAAATGCATTAATTTGCTATTTGGTTATCAGTCATTGACCCTGATTTCTCTCTCCCAGTTGCTCACATAATGGAAACTATGATTAGGTTAATATATATATATATATATAATCGAATTGATTATAAAAAATAATTGAAAGAAAATGACTTTGTTTTTAATGATAAATATTTTTAATAACAAATAAATTCAAATAGAATGGTCAACAAGTGTTTGTTTGATTCTCGACAAATTTTAAATATTCCTCAATCCTCAAAACAAACGAGGAAACATAAAACTAATCTTTTCGGAAGCAGAGTGAGTTAGGCACGTGAGGGACACGTGACAGCCTTTCCCTTTTGCCTTTGCGCGCTCCTGCGATTCTGCGAACCCTAAAATTCACCAAGCACCGGATTCAAAATTTTTAATCTGAATTTAACAGTTGATTTTCCACGCAATAATATTGTGATTTTAAAATTATTTTAAAAGCCTATATTCATATATTTCTCATAAAATTACAATTCTGTAAAGGATGAAAAGAAAAAATAGGTTTTAAATTAAAAAAAGGCAAAGACTTTACCCAAAAAAATTCATGCTTCATCATCAAAGGCTTTCATTTCTCCATCATCTCCCATCTCATGAACATATATATAATATCCAAGAAATGACACTTTGGTTTTACTCAAAACATTTCCAAGATCCCAAAGTTCATACTTTCTATATATATATATATATATATATATATATAATCCCCAAGTAAAGGCACTTTTATTGAAGTTTTATGCGTATTATATACACAAAAGACAAAGGAAAGATTTTGCAAAAGGAAATGCTACATGATAATGGTAAAGCTGCATGCATGCATACACTTTTGGTCTAATAGTTTTGTTGAAGAATGTTCATTACAGACATGGATGCACCAACATTACGTTTAATTGCAAGTTTTAAACTTTAATTCCAAAAAACAATTCACATGGGAATTGAAATATTCTATTTTTTCTTGGTTAAAAAAAAACGAAGTCAAACAAAAGATATGAAATTCATGGAATCCGAGTTGGGCATGTGAGAGAGAGAAAAAGTAGATTGAATTGAAGAGTGAGAAGACTTTGCCTTAGACTTAGAGATAAGGACCCAAAAAAAAGTACCAAGCTTTACATTCTGGGAGTTCCCTCCCTTTTCCTTACGGTGTCAATTTGGGCGTGAGACTCTTAAGCTCGATCCGGTCCGGTCTAACTAAAAAATTAGCGGATTTAGGTCTAAGTTTCTCGGTCCGAAAATCGGATTTTCAGGTCGAGTTCGAATCGGATTTCGGACTAAGTCGGATCGATCCGAAAGTCTGAGATTTATGCGGATCGATCCGGTCCGATCTAATCCGATCTGCGTCCGGTATATACAAAGTCTGGGTTTTGGGCTTAACTACATAAACTTAAAAAAAATCGAGTCTATCCGAACGTAATCCCGAAACATTTGAATCGAGTACAAATTCCGACTGGATCGGACCGATTGACACCCTACTTTTCGTTCTTTGTATCGCTAATTGTTCAAAGAATGATGACAGAAAGAATTAAATTGCGATTTTCTTTCTATTTTTTACTCCAAAAGATTTCAACCAAGCTATAAATCCTACAGTTGTCGATGCCCATTTTCTTTGCTTTCCCTTCACTGCTCTCTCTCTCTCTCTCTCTCTCTCTCTCTCTCTCTCTCTCTCTCTCTCTAGTTTCCTCCATTGCAAACGAAGCTTTCTTTCCAGCTTTAGTAGAGATTCACCAACCATCTGGCCCACCTTCGCCCCCTTTTTTTTTGTACCCTCGCAATTTTTTTTACAGACGTATTCCTGTCTTCGTATCCATGTATGTGGGTATACATACATATATACACGCTCCCCATAACCCCATTTTCTTTTCGGTTGATTAGGTTTCCTGGCTTTTTTCCCTTCTGTTTCCTTGTTCTAATACCATTACCATAAAATCGATTTCCTTTTTGTAGATGTTTCAATCTTCTGGTTGGCGCGAGAAACTTCATCTGCAATTCAACGTCGGCATATCTGTGCCTATTGCGTTCTGCATTCTCCGAAATTTTCTTCGGTTCGCTTCAGAAACAAAAAAAAGGAGTGCCCTTTTTCTCTTTTTCTTCGTTTCTACTATTCCAAGAGGAAGATAAATCAAAAGGGCTACGCTTATTTCGTCGCATTCTGAGGTAATTTATTTTATCGTCATGAAAGGATAGTCCTTTTTTAGTTTTTTTTCCCGGTGGCATTTTGTGATTTTCGGTCTTTGTCTCTTGCTTGGATAGGAAGTGATGCTTTTCCAGTGTTTTGAGAGTTGGGCATTTCCTTTTTTCCAGAATTTTCACGTCAGTATGCTTGATTACGGCGGGGCAATTCATTGCCTATTACTTGTTTGTTGATATGCCGCAACTAATTCTTGAAAGATTTACGCTTTTTGAATCATATATTAAACACTTCCTTCGCTTGAAAGGTTTACGCTTTTGAATCATGGCATGACTCCTCTTTGTCCTACGGCTTCTGTGTTGCTTGGAGTTGGAATAACATCTGAGAGAATCAGACGTGTTCTTGCCCTCTTGATGTGCGCATATGTTAATTGGCACTTTCTCTTTGTACTTGGGGGGAAAGTCGTGCTAGGACTTTGGTCGACGTTGTGAAAGAAGGCGAGCCAGTTTTGACATCAGATACAAGATCAAAGATGAGCAGCCCTTTGGGCGCTGAAATGTCGAAGACAATATCGATTTTCGGTCTAAAGGGTTTGAAGTTGTGGGTATTGATTTGTTTTGTAGTTGGCGTAATCATAGTTTTGGTTCTCTGCATCTTATCTCTCTGGGTTACTTTCCGTCGAAAATCCAGAAAATCAACAGATAAGTTCCCCTTCAACCAGATACCATATGTGTCGAAAGATATCAGGGTTGACAGAGTTGGGCTTCAGAGTCAGAACTCTCACCCTGAGAGTTTGCATCTCACAGTAAATGATCATAAATCCAGTGACAGAAACTCGGAGAAAATGATGACCTATTTGGGCAGAAGCAAGTCCAGTGATAACGATAATTTAAGTCAATGTAGCTCGGTGCATCATCACGAGAGAGCTTGCAGCTCGCAATCTGGTGAAGAAGGAAGCTTTGGAGGGACTGCTTGGAGGCAATCTTCATTATCATATGGAGGGCTTGTAACAGCATCACCCTTGATCGGTTTGCCAGATATATCACATCTTGGTTGGGGACATTGGTTTACCCTTAGGGATCTCGAGCTAGCCACAAACCGTTTTGCTGCAGAGAATGTGCTTGGTGAGGGTGGTTATGGAGTAGTTTACAGGGGTAGACTCGTGAATGGTACCGAGGTTGCTGTGAAGAAGCTTCTGAACAATATGTAAGTTTTGTTTTTGTAGAATCAAATCTTCACCAGTCTGATATTTCTTCAACTCACTTAACAATCCTATCCTGTGTTTCGATCATCAGGGGACAAGCAGAGAGGGAATTCAGGGTTGAAGTTGAGGCAATTGGTCATGTACGGCACAAAAACCTTGTTAGACTTTTAGGATACTGCATAGAGGGAGTTCACAGGTAAGACTCTAACCAGGCTACCGATACCGTTTCTCTTTTATTTTCCTTGTAGTTTCGTTATTAGGGCAGGAGGAGAGATTTCCTCTGTAACTAGTGGGTATCATGGCTTAATAATTTATATGTTGGCTTTGTGCAGGATGCTTGTTTATGAGTATGTCAATAATGGTAACTTAGAACAATGGCTACATGGAGCCATGCGCCAACATGGCGCTCTCACTTGGGAAGCCCGCATGAAGATCATTCTCGGTACCGCACAAGCGTAAGTTGTTTGAAATGTTGACTTTTGACATGTTTCTTGCTTGGATATATATAATCCATCATCTTTTCATTCCTCATTAGGACTATCAGATTAAGCTGTAATACAGCGCTAGCATGCACGTAATTTGAATAGAATCTTTAAATGTATTGTGAAAATGTCTGCATCTCATTTGTTTCTTGTGTAAATTACAGGCTTGCTTATTTGCATGAAGCAATTGAACCGAAAGTAGTGCACAGAGACATAAAAGCAAGCAATATATTGATTGATGATGAGTTTAACTCGAAAATCTCTGATTTCGGATTAGCCAAGCTCCTGGGCTCTGGTGAGAGTCACATTACGACCAGAGTCATGGGCACCTTTGGGTAAGTGTGAAAAATGTATAATACACTTTTCGGAGAATGATGTCTTCGTGTCTGCAATATTATATCCTTACTTAGTCGTCTGAATGTGTTTCAGCTATGTAGCACCAGAATATGCTAATACAGGATTGTTGAATGAGAAGAGCGACATCTACAGCTTCGGTGTTCTGCTTCTTGAAGCTGTGACTGGAAGGGACCCAGTTGACTATGGACGTCCTGCTAATGAGGTGAAATAAATGTATTATCTGTCTGAATATTATGAATACATTGCAAAACCTCTGATTCGATGCTGAATATTATAAACCCATTGCCAGGTGAATCTCGTTGAATGGCTGAAGATGATGGTCGGGACAAGAAGAGCTGAAGAAGTTGTTGACCCGAGCATTGAAACCAAACCCAGTACACGTGCTTTGAAACGTGCCCTTCTAGTGGCACTGAGATGTGTGGATCCTGAGGCAGAGAAACGGCCAAAAATGAGTCAGGTTGTACGGATGCTTGAAACAGATGAACACCCGTTTCTTCAGGTACGTGTCCATGTCCGGTCTAACTGTATTAACAACTGATATGAATGCGCTCAAGAACTTGGAATATGTTAAGTCGTATCTTCTTTTTGCAGGACCAGAGGAGCAGAAGGAGCAGAACGACGAGCATGGAAATTGTCGAAACTACAGAGGAAGCAACCGGCACTAGCAAAGGGCCTGGCCATTCAGAGAGCCATACTTCGAGACCTGAGAAAGCTCCTGAATAGGAAGAAGATATCACTTGTTCCGCTTGACAACTAAATACACGCTTCATTTTCCGGACGAGTTTCCCGCTTGTGGAGCAGATAAACGAGTTGGATTACAAAGAGAATCAAATCTCACGATCTTGAGATTTCAGATGACGGAAGAATGGCTCTTGTTGTATCTAACACCCTGTGGAGTAAGTGATGGCCGAAGCAATGCCAAGGGGCGGCTTTTCGATTTCTTGATCGATAGCGAGTTTTTTCTGATGCAAAAAAAGGCGTTTTTTTCCTTTCTTCTGAAAGTATCTTTCTCTCTTGCTTTCATTCCTTCACTGTTACTCTGATGGAGATCTCATTTTCTGGTTCTTGCCATATAGGCTTCAACTTTGGTAGCTTTTTTTTCTAAGCCTCCTTAATGTTTTTGTACAAGAGAGTTAATGTATTTGGGTATATGATCAGAGTTTTGAGTATGTATGCATGTGGTTGTGCGTACAAAGGCATGCCATGCCCTGTTGGGACAATGATGGCCTCCTCCCTGTCTCTTGCCCTTTTTCTTGAGCCGACAGAAGATGGAAAATGACAGGAGTTTGAGCCTAGCCTAGTCATGTCCGCGAGAGTTGATGTTTGAAAATCAACGAAAACAGAGGAGAAGGGGCAAAAACAGAGTTCAAACTCGGTGGCCCAACCAGCATGAGAGGGCCCTACATCTAAAATCATCAACACCAAAAACTGTAAGCATATATGTAAAAACGCTCTCCGAGCCCAGGCTGTTGAGATTGGTTCAGGCTGTGATGTCTGTGAGACGTTGGCTGATTTCTCGAGAAGGAAGCAGAGGGGACTCGCATTCTCAGCGCAAATGGCTGCGTCACGACTGTCACGTTGAGGCAACCGGTCAGCCCGGGGGCAGTCATAATGTTGCACAGCCGGTTCAAGATTCTGTCTTTGCTTGGATCCGTCTTGCCTCCACCTGCACCGGTCGGGATGACCGTTCTGACTATTTACTTAGCCCGGCCTCAGGAACAGATCGTGGGGGGAATGGTCAGAGGGCTTATTGCTTCTGGTCCTGTCGTGTTAAGGGCTGCTTTCATGAACACTGTTTTCGATCGTCTTCCTTTGGATGCTGCTGCTGCTGATGAAGCTACTGTTCATGCGGATACAATGCAGAGTCAGAATTATTACCAGAATGGAAGCTCCCGGGACTTGGACGAAATATACAGATTTACTCAGAACCTGCTCGCAAATGGAAATGGAGCTTCGGATATTTACCCGTCGGCGCCTGCCTGAGCCATGTCAAAACCTCAGTACTCCACCACCGTGCTTTATCACAGCTCATCTGTCCCTTTTGTTTTCTTTTTTACTACTTGGGATTCAGATCGATGTTTCGGTGGGCTTATATCTGTACCCTGTACCAACAAAACTGAAAAGAGGAGAAGAATCAGAAGATCACACCATTAAATTGATTAACACGAGCTTATTATATAACCTCATTAAAAAGAAAAGCATAAGCAGCACAAGATCCCTGCAAGCATATGCTTCTGCATTAACACAGACATTGAGCGTAAGACCATATCTTAATCACTGCAAGTTGCATCGGGCAATGTCGCGATGTGATCACGGTCTCTATCATCCATTAGGGATGAGCTCAAGCTGATGACGTACTCTCCCTGGCTTGCACCAGAAGTTTACCGGCATTCTTTGAGCTTCGATGCTGTTGTTTCCAGAGAAACAAATGGTTTACTGGATTCCAGTGACGACCGGGAATCCCGTCGCGGAGAAATTTCTCTGCTTGTTGAGTAGAATCCTTGCGGCTGCATCACCTTATTGATAGAAGAGCTCGAATTTTCTCCCGAGAGTGGAGTCCTTCGCATCGCTGATGATGATTATGCCGAAGCCTCGTGGTTTTGCCCACAAGGAGACTGCTTCAAGAAGAAATTACAGTGAGAAAGCCATAGAAGAATACCTGAGTCCGATGCGGATGTTGTATCAAACTTCCGGGATTTTGGGAATGAGGGTAGGAGGAGACTCTGGTCTGCCATGGAAGGATCAGTCGGTGTTACACGTCGGAAGTTCTGGAGAAGCAGAACTATTCCAAATCGATCTCAGATTCCTCCAGAATCTTCATCGATTGTCTCTGTCTACCTCTCTAGAAGTTCCGTGGTGTAAGACCAACCGGGATTAAAAGCAGCAAAGTTCGAACTGGTTGATGGAAGATGCCCCTGCATGATCCTTGAATATAGTACGACTCGGTTAACAGTTAAAGAAAATTCAAGGGGACAGCTCATGCACATCATTCGTTTGAAATGTTTTATGGCATTCAATTCCGGTAAAAGAAATAGGGTGAATGCGGTATTAAGAAGCAGGATGCACTACCTGATTACGAGACTATTGACCCTCGGACTGGAATTCATTGGGTAACCATTGCTTTTCTTCATTAACAGGACTTGAACTTTGCGTGTATGAAACGAGAGCAGCCTTGCCTTGGATCTTTGCATATGCCAAGGTAGCGATCTTCCCAGTATTGAACTTCTCCCACCTTTTCCCGTTAAAAGTCTGCGGGGAAAAACACGCAAGGCGAGTTTTTATTTATTTTTTGTCTTAACAATCTGCAACTAGTGCATTTAGATAAGCAGACGGAGGAACAGAAAATCGCAATCCGCACTAAATGGAATTCACGACTAAACAACAGGAAAATCACGAAAAACTCAATTGAAAGTGTGCAAGAACAGAGTTCCAGTCAAGAATAGTTTCCAACAACAATTTCAGAGAGCAAAATGTATTAACCTGGTGGAAGGGAACGATGTGCAAAGGAGAGACCATATTGATCAAAGCATAACCCAGGTTGCACTTGTTCTGCAGACAGAACACAATTAAGGTAAACTGTCATCAACCTCTTTGTGTCATAACAACAGAATCACTCATTACTCCTCATGCAGTAGTACCTTAAAGTCGGCTGGCAAGTAGAGAAAGTCGTAGTCTCCCTTGTGTTTTTCATCGATTTCAGCTGTCAGCATCTTGAAAGTGTACCTAGAATACATTTGAGAGAGTTAAACATCGCCTGCATGCCAGAAGATTATAGATCGATTTCACCGACCGACTTACTTGTTTGGGATGTTCTCAATCATTAATGTAGTCCGGATATCATCTCCCGTAGTAATTCTGTCCAAATCCACATGACACCATCTATCATCCATGATTTGGGTTTGAGTGTGATTCTCAAGCTGCTGGACCCTGTCATGCTCAACATACCGTTCAGTCCTCGTAGATCCCGATCCCGGATTCCCGCTATAACGGGCTTGAGGCGTTGGCAACATGCCAAAACCGGGGAAATCAGGTTCAGTTTGGCTCCATGGAAGACCGACGCCAGATTTTTCTTGTGGATGAGCTCGGATTTCCGTCAGAAACTGTCCATTGATCCCTTGTGACTCCCAACTGTAGCTTATTTGGGCACCGAGATGAATGCTTGAGGGAGCAGAGCCCACATGATGCTGGTATTTACCAAGCAGGGAACCTTGTCTACCAGAGTATGGAAAACCATGCCGAGCGGTGAAAGGACGCCCAGAAGATGACATCGATCCAGCGTGACCAGAATAATTGAAGGCCTGAGGAGGACTTCCCCATAGATAGCCGTGATCAGATGACGTCCCGGAAGAAACCGAGAAACGCGAATCGAGAAATCGCATAGAGTTGGAAACCGCCCCTGCTGAATGCTCGGGAAAAGAACGAGGCTCCGCATAGAAAGTGTTGCGAAACAGACCCTTGTTCAGAGTCATTACTCCTTGGTCATTACCAGTGGGTGAAAATATTGGAGAGACAGTTGAATGAGATGGGAGAATCGAAGCCAAGCCGTGCGGGTTGCCGGGGTTTGCTGGCCTGACGATTTCTAGTCCGTGAGACCGCGGAAAAGCATGTGAACTTTTGGCGCTGATTGGAGGCCCAGTGTTTGCCCAATTACCTGTTAATGAGATTAAGTGAATTTCCCGACAAGTAGCATTAACCCACTCGGGAAAAAGCATGGGAAAGGAAGGGAAGATTAAATTATTACCTGGAGGAGAACCGGCAATCTGCGAACCTACCTGGTTGAAGAAGCTCTGAGCTTCATGTCTCTCCATGTCCTGACCAGCTATTGGAACCGAGCTGCAGACAGAAACATTTGACTCACTTGCTATGCAAGATAATCGTTGATTAACATGGGGATAAAATGAATAAAATATAAAGTGGGTTATTTTTCTGAATAAAAGATAAATGTGGTTTATTACTAGACAAACAGACCCACACAGACAGAAAGCCACTGACAAAATCTAAGATTCTCGTACTTGGAACACACACACAAAAAAACAAAACAAAGATAAGATCCAGAAAGCACATGGAGAAGGCTCAATCTCATTTATGGTTAAAGACATGTAGTTGCATGAAAAATAGTGTTTCTTGGAAGAATATGAGCAAGAAAAACTTTCAAAACAGCAAATTCTACGAAGGAAGTCATGATACTTCAAGAATCTGAAACCCAGCAAACGAAACACACGAAAGTCAAGAAGAGATTTCCTCGCCATCTTTAGTACATAATTCTTTATGATCACTAAAAACATGCTTCATGAAAATCCTAAGATCCAATCTTAGCTGTAAAACGCAAGCAGCGAAGGAATTCAATACTTACAGCCGACGGGCCCCACCAGGGCGGCTAAGTTCAAGCTTGATTCGTTTTCCACCTATCTCGCTTCTGTTAAGTGCTTTCAGAGTTGCCTCTGCATGTCTAACATCAAAGTACTCAATGAACCTATGGAATCGCCTGTGCGGGGTTTCTCTAATCTGCATTTACAAGTCAAGTTAAAAAACTCGTGATTTTACCCATCAAATGAAATAACATGAGAAGAATTTCTAGCCGGTCATCTATGACATAAAATCCGACAGGGCAATATAAATTCACTTCCTAAATTGAGAATGCATAGTTACCTCTTTAACCTCACCATAGACACTGAAAATCTGACAGAGCTCGTCATTCGACACAGATGTATCCACGTTGAAAACTACAAGAGTACCTTGATTCATATCTTTCTCTGATGGATTTTCCTGTCATACGGGATATTCAACCAATGATTCAAAGATGATATTAAAGGAGGATCTTTTAAAAACTCCAAAACAAGATAACTTATCACAGTTTATACCTTGGGAATCGAAAAGTGGATGTCCAATGTCCTTTTTCTTAAAAGTGTGCCCTGTAATGCGCGCAGTGCAGTATGAGCAGCTCGGATATCATAGTAGGATATCATTACAAAGCCCCTGCTTTTGCATGCAGTGTACAAACTTCTGATCTCTCCAAACGGCTGGCAACAAATAGAACCCGTGTCAGCTGGAGCAAACGCGAATATAAAGATGCGAAATGGTTTCAAAGCACAAAGATTTAGACAAATCTAATGCAGGCCCAAACCTCGCACATTTTTCAGGTGTAAGATAAAACAATGGCAATGATACAGAATCACATTAATGCTAACAATCATTTGACAGGAGTAAAATGCAACAGAGAATGTCTGGTAAGTACCTCAAAGAGGGCCCTTAACTCAGAGTCCTCGATATTGCTGTTGATGTTTCTCACGAATAATGTCCTCGAAGGATGTTCACCGTGAGGATGTTCCACTGAAGATCTTCCAGACATGTTGGGAAACTTACGGGGAATAAGGGAATCTGCAACACCTCGACCAGACATCTGAATCTCTGATACATCAACAACATGATTGTCTCGGGGTTCAACGTCCAATTCCAGACCCCCTCCCATGCAAAACACATCACAGTCTTCCAGATCCTCCAGTTCGTCAGGCAGACCATTGAAATTAAGCTCGTCGATGAGACCAGGAAGGAGCTCGTTTTCATCCTCAGGCAGCAAAATTTCCAATGAGTTAGGCTCAACATCTTCGGATGAATCCTTCTCTGAGTTTCCTGTGGCTAACTTGTTCAAATTGGGCGAGCTATCATCGAGGGAGAGCCAACTGTCTGAATCAGTATAAACAACTGCATGTGTAATAAGAAAAGATATCAGCACCGAACTCAGAAACAACTCGACTGCCACTTTGATGTTTAAGGAAAAGCTTGGGCATACGCTTTTCATGAGAAAGTGTGGGCAAAGAGCTTGAGAACAAGGTCACATGACTTGAAGTCGGATATGCATCGCGTCCATGAGGACTTCCCGATGGTCCACTCGCCAAAGGACTCTTTGACATGTCCTAGATATAACACATAGTAAGTAGATGCGGAAAATAATCCGATCAAACTGTAGTTTTCTTCAGAACATTATAGGTCTCTCTATCACATCCTTATCGGACAAAACATCTACTTAAGAAACAGGAGTAGGTGTTATAGTTATGTCCAGACAATTATTCCACAACAGGAACGAAATCGAGGAAGATGTCGGAATAGAAACTCAACGAACTCCATCTCCTTCACAGAGACTAACACACCATGAACGCAGTTGGTAAACTCGATGGCTATAACTCAAGGGTTCCACCCCAAATCCTTGTTGCTTATGGAGACAGCAACGCGAACAGGAATCATCAACTCAGCAACTGACATTAAAAGCTAGAAAGTCACCTGTCCTTGAATTTTGACTAAGAAACAGGCTTAATTTCACCAAAAAAAAAAAACAACAGGCGAACGCCGACTCTGAACTCCATGAATCAGAAACAAGAAACCGAGTACGCAAATCAATCATCAGGTAAATAAACAGGGAAAAACGGGAACATCATCAACTCGATGAACTGAACCACGCGGCATGAAAAATCACAGAGAAGGAGAAGAAAACCATAACATGATCGACCGAAACGAAAATCTGGAGGAGAGAACGAAGAGTACCTTTGATGGAACAGATGAACAAGGCTAAGTTGCTCGATCGAACAAATTCTTCTCAAAGATATCACAAAAGAATCGAGAGAGAGAGAGAGTTTCGTGGAAGAAGAGGAATTTCTTTCTTATACTCCACCTCCTCCTCCCTTGGTGCCGGGAGATTATACTCAGCAGAAAAGAAAATAAAAAAGAAAAAGACCGATAGAGAGAGAGACATGGATACGAACTCAACTCTCGCATTTATGTTATGTCCTGTGGGTTCTTATAAAAAAAAAACAATACTTTAAAATAAATCACTAATATTAATTTGGTATTTTTATTTATAATTACAAAGTAAATCCCCTGTCTCTTCATAATACACTAATAATACGCTATGCTTACTCTTCAGTTCCTTGTTTCGTGGATATGCATAACGGGAAAATATATGTGTTGCAATCGAATTTTTTGTTTTCTAACTGAGTTTTCAATTTTTTTTATCATCTTATTGCAAGTGCCAAGTGGACAAGTTGGCCGTCTTCTTGTGGGCAATCCATCGTTCTATATATTTTAAACCCCCATATATATATATATATATATAAATATATAAAATAGGAAGACTTGGTAAAAAGAAAAGCAGTTCAAAAAAAAAAAGATTAATGGCAACAATACGTGGGCCTAAGAGAATTCCGATCTAATCATAATGGGTGTAGAGGTTAGGCCCACAACATACACACTTTATCATGGGCCTCCAAAATATATTTTTTTTTCAGTTTCCAAATTTATCTAGTTAATTTACGACTATTAAATTATTTTTGGAGCAAACTATATGTACTATATAATTTTGATTTTAAATATTATTTTGGAGAAGTAAAAATATACACATTATTTTATAACATGATCATCATGATTGATGGAGCGTATGGTCGCTTAATTGTAGTCACTTTTCTATCAAAAGTTTAGGATAATAAGAATTGGAAAAAATTAACAGTGATACTCTCCTTGCAGCTGGTTTTTTTTTTTTTTTTTTTTTACCAAAAC